GAAGATGTCCCCTGGCACTCACCCTGATGTCACACCCTTCAGTTTCTTTCTGCATGCCACTGGTGCCCTTCTGGTTGCTGCCGTGGTGCTAGAGCCCAGAGAGAGTGAGTCTGCATAAGTCCTAAGTCCATTGTGGGCTGTTTAAGAGGAGACACCTGGGAATCCCACAGTATTTTTTCTGCTACCCCAAGCCCCAATGGTTTTTATAGCTAGAAGTTATGGGGACTTATCTTCCTTGCACTGGAACCCTGGGCTGTGTGGTTTGGTATGGGGCCTGGGATTCCTTGCTCCCAAGATATCCCTCCCAATTATTATTCACCACAGGTGAGTGTGGGACCACCTATTCCACGTCTCCATGTCTGTCCTCTTACCCATCTGGATGAATGTGACTTCTTTATTCCTTGGTTGTGGGACTTCCATGCAGCTTGATTTTCTGACAATTCTGGCTGATATATATTTTGTAGTTTAGTTGTAGTTTTTGCTGTGGCTGTGTGAGGAGGCCAGCATGTTTACCTATGCCTCCATCTTGACTACTGTTCCTTTTCATCACTTTTGATACTTCATGCCAGTTTCTTCTGGGAGCTCCTTTGTAGTTAACTATTTGTTGTTGTTATTTTTGTTATTGTTTTTGCTGCTTTTAAGATCTCTCTTGTTTTAACATTTATTATTTTAATTATGATGGGTCTTGGTTGGGCCTCTTTGGATTCATCTTGCTTGAGACTCTCTGTGCCATCTGGACTTGTATATATATTTCCCTTGCAACATTAAAGAAGTTTTTAGTCATTATTTCTTCACATAGGTACTCAATTCTTTGTTCTATCTCTTTTCCTTCCAGTACCTCTATGACACAAATGTTATGTTTGATATTGTCCTACAAGTACCTTAAACTATCCTTATTTTTATTTTATTTTATTATTATTTTTTAACATTTTATTTATTTATCTTTAGAGGGGAAGGGAAGGAGAGAGGGAGAGAAATATCAATGTGTGGTTGCCTCTCGTGCGTCCCCTGGGAATTGGCCTGCAACCCAGGCATGTGCCCTGACTGGTAATCGAACTGCAATCCTTTGGTTTGCAGGCCCATGCTCAATCCACTGAGCTATGCCAACCAGGGCTAAACTATCCTTATCTTAAAAAATCTTTTTTTTCCTGTACTGTTTTGATTGGGTCTTTTACTACTCTGTCTTCCTAATCACTAGTTTGATCGTCTTATTAATCTAATACAATGTTTATTTCTTCTAGTGTATTCTTCATTTCAGTTAATGTAGTCTTCATTTCTGACTGATTCTTTTTTATGGTTTTTATGTCCTTTTTTAATGCTACTGTCTCTTTGTTGAAGTTTTCACTGAGTTCATGTATTCTTTCCCTTAGTCCATTGAGCATCCTAATAAGCAGTGTTTTGTGTGTGTGCATGTATCTGTTTATTTTTTAAAATATATTTCATTGATTGTGCTATTACAGTTGTTCCATTTTCTCCCCATAACCAGTGTTTTGAACTCTGTATCTGGTAGACTGCTGTCCTTTATTTTGTTTAGTTCTTTTTCTGGAGTTTGCTCCTTTTCTTTCATTTGGGGTATGTTTTTTTTGCCTGTTCATTTTGGCTGCCTCTCTCTTTGTTTCTATGTATTAAATATATCTGCTGCATCTCCCAGTCTTGGCAGGATGGCTCTATGTAGAAGGTGTCCCTGGGGCCCTGTGTTGCAATCTTCCTGATCACATAAGGCAGGTGTTTCAGGAGTGTCCCTTTTGTGGGTTGTATTTGTTCCTCTGTTGGAGTTGAGCCTTGATTATTATTGGCACATCTGTAAGTGGGATGGACCCTTAGGCTGATCAGCTATGAGGATTGACCTTGAACACAGCATACAAGTTGCTATCCAGAGGCTGACCCCAAAGAACATGTTTTTCCCCACTGGGCTCTGTTTGCCTGCTGAGACTACCATATAGGTGTGCTGCTTATGTAGCTAGTGGGGTGGTGGTCTACTGTGGTCTGAAGCTGGCCACCAGGTTTGTTGCTTTTAGGGCCTCTTCTGAAGGGCTCCAGTGCAGGCCACATTTAGCCACTGGCTGTGACTGGGACAAGGCCCCCTGATAGGAGCTACAAAAAATCCTCAGTTTGTAGCCGCCTGTGCTGGGCCTGGGGACATGTAGGAGAAGCCACACTGCAAATCAAGGCCAGCTGCCACCAGTACCAGGCATGGGACTGCTCAGCAAAAGGCAGTAGGTACCCGGAGGTCTACCACAATCTGACAGTTGCCCATAAGGCTCAGTCACTGAAAAAAGCCTCTGGTGTTTTATGAGTTTGGTGAGGCAGGGCCTCAAGGGGTCACCAGGCTGACATGAGTGCTGTTCACCCTGTCATTCCAGATTCAGATTTGGCAAAAGTGTTGAGCCTTGAGGCACTAAGGAAAAGGCATAAGGTACACCAACATCAGCCACTGCCCACCTGGGCCCTGAGTATCTTTGAGTTTATTTTTAAGGAAGACTGGAGTGTGGGCCAAGTCTGGCTGTCTGCTGCTGAAAGAGCCTCTTGAGCTGTGTGAGCTGTGTGGGGTGGGGGTCATTGGAAGTGATCAGGGTGGTGCACATGGAATTCACAGGCTAATGTAGATTCAGATTTGGTCGTGGAGGGGAGGGCTAAACATAGGAAAGATTGCATTCCCCTGTCGGCTCTATTGGAGGAGAGCTGAACATATAGATAATGGTAGTTGTACCTCCAGCTTTTGCCCTGAAGCCACACAACTCAGATTCTCCCTGTACGTCTCTGGTACCTCCTAAACCACTGTCTCTTTGCTTGAGCCTAGAGTGAGTGCCTGAGAGCCAGTGAATCTATGGGCAGGCCTGTTAATGGGATGCTTGGGTTTGTAGCTGCCCTCTGTCCCACCCAGTAAGATGGAATCCTTATCCATTTTCATAGCCAGATCCTGTGGGAGCTCTTCTTTCTGACATGGGTGACCCTGGCTGGAGATCCTGATGTGGGCTGGTACCCCTTGCTCCTCAGTGGACAACTCCGAAGCTGAGATATTCTTCCTAATTCTTAACCTCCACATGTGGGTTTATAACCAGCTTGTTTCACACCTCTGCCCCTTCTACAAGTCTCAACGTGGCTTCTTTATATTTTTAATTATAGGACTTCTGTCTACCTACCCATCAGATGGTTCTTCAGGTTGGTTATTCTATAATTTAGTTGTAATTTTGCTGTGGTGATGGAAAAAGGAAAACACAACATTTTCCTACTCTGCCATCTTGATTGGAATTCTAGTCTTGAAAATTATAAATTTTAAACTTGAAAATTGTAGTTTAAATTTGTACAGTTTATCACACAGCAATTATACCCCAATACATTGTTTTTAAAATTAAAACAGAACTAAGACACTTTCAGACAAAAATTAAGACAATTCATTGCCAGTAGATTTGTGCTATAAGAGATGGTAAACAAAATTCTACAGGTAGGAGAAAAATTACACCAGAAGGGAAATTTGGACCCGCAAAGAGGAGTAATGAGCAAGAAAAATAAGTATGTAAACAATTGCAGAAGACTTTTTCTCATTTAAAAAGATATTCTGAAAGAATAATTGTTTAAAGTAAAAGTAATGACAATATGCTGAGATGTTTCTACATATGTAGAAGTAAAATATATGCCAATTGCACAAAGGATGAGGGGGAAGTAAAAGTGACCTTTTATATGACTCTTAACCTTGTATGTGAAGTAGTATATATTTCAAGGTAGACTTTGATAGTGCAAAGAACTATATTTGAAAGCTTAGAGAAGTGACTCAAAAGAAATAAACCAATGGAGCACCATCCCATAAACTGAAAGTTCATGGGTTTGATTCCTGGTCAGGATACATGCCTGGATTGAGGGTTGGACCCCAGTCAGGGTGCATGCAAGAAGTAACTGACCAATGTTTCTCATCCTCTCTCTTCCTCCCTCTCTCTCTAAAATCAATGAGCAAGTTCTTGAGTGAGGATTTTAAAAATAAATAAGTAAACTACTTAATCCAAAGAAGAAAAACAGAAGGAGAAAGAAACAAAGAATATATGAGGCAGATAGAAAAAAATTGCAACATGGTATATTTATACTCAATTGTATTGGTAATTACATCAATTGTAAATATTCTACATAGTCCAATTTAAAGGCAGAGATTGTCATATTAGATAAGAAGGTAAGATCTAACTTTATGCTATCTGTAAGAAACATACTTTAAATATAATGCCCTTCAGAGTCTAAACTTGAAAGGATAGAACATGGTATACCATGCTAATATTAATTCAAATAAAACTGGAGTAACTAAATAACCTTAAGAAAGTAGACTTCAGAACAAGAAAAGTCACTAAAAATAAAAAAGATAGTTTCATAGTGATAAAGGGATGACTTCATCAAGAGGATATAAAAAGTCTAGTAAGTGCCTAACTAGATCCCACTCCCATTAACCTATTCTAGGACAACATTTCAACAAATATTACCTCTCCAATAGCACCGATTTTTTTCTTTCCTGGAACTTTTGTATTCACACAAAAAGAAGCTATTATTTATTCTGTTTTTTAAAAATCCATTATCTCTTGACCCAATCTTTTTTCAATTAATGCTTAACTCCCATTTGTCTTTATATAAAATTTTATTAAATGTCATTTATACTTAATTTTTAAATTTTTTTCTTCCATTCTTTTTAAATTTATGTATAGTTGGTATACAATATTATATTATTTTCCAGTGTACAACATGATTTGACATTTAAATACCTTACAGGGTAATCACCCATTAATTCTATAATCATTTGTCACTGTGAAAACTTACCACAATATTACTGGCTATACTCCCCTTCACCGTTTTCACCATCCTCCCATCCTTACCTCCCCTGCAACTATCTTTTTGGTTTCTGTTTCTTGTGTCTGTTTTTGTTTTGCTTTGTTTGTTGATTTATTTGTTTTGCCTTTTAGATTCCAAATATCGGTGAAACTATATGATATTTGTCTTTCTCTGTCTGATTTATTTCACTTAGCATAAAAATATGATTATATACCACAAAGTACTGTCAACGCCTTAACCATATACCATATGCATGTTTCCAGGCACAAGGGCCTCTTTCACCCTTGCCACAGGAAGTGCTGACCTCTCCTTTTCATACAACACTCTCCCATTCACTTTTTTTAAAGCTTCCTGATAGATCAAGAACTTTATTGTTGGATGAAAACAGTTCCTAGTCATAGATCCTATGCTATAGCTCTCCTTGTCCAATTATTGACCCAGGCTGCCTGGTCCTAGGCTCTCTTCCATTTTGACAAGATGACTTTGAGCCAGGGAGACTTCCCACAGGCTTTTCCAAAGTGTGGCCCAAGTATCAAGGAAATAGACTCCAGTTTTTGGTGAAAGCCCTGGAGCAACTGGGGTTCTTCAAATTATCACACTTGGCTCTTCTAGAATCTGTCCCAAGGGAGAAGTTAGAATCCACTCAACAAAGTGAAGAATTCAGGGGCCACACTACCCAACAGTCTTCACTGTGCTCCCAGATTCCCAGCTTTGTCGTCCAGCTGAAGGTCTGCCACATCCCTCCTTCACAGGCCTGCCTGCCAGCTGATCCTGCCTGCCCTGAGGTCCAGGAAGGAGGAGCTCAGCTTGGGCTCAGGCTTCCTGGCTACTCTGAGTGCTCTCTGAACCATCTGGGCTTAGAGATGCCAAGTCAGGATCCCATTCACTCTTATACCCACTCCAATCAGGGCTTTGCCTAATAATTCTACTAAAACTATTTTGTCAAAGTCACCAATGTTCTTCACCTCATTAAATGTGACGCTCAAATCTCAGGCCTTACATGATCTAATAGTAGCATTTGACGTAAGTGGTCATTCTCTTCTTTCTTTCTTGACTTCCATGAGTCCATACTTTCTTGGTTTTCTGATTCTGGTTTATTCCTGACTGTAATATTATGGTGCTCTAGGAATCAGACCTTAGTCCTCTTCTCTTTTATATCTACACTCCCTTGGCAATTTCATTGAGTCTTGTAGCTTTAATTGCAATATATATGTTTGCTAATAACTTGTAAATTTGTATCTCTAACCTAAATTTCTCACGTGTTATAGGGACTCAAATATTTAATGACCTATTCATCAGCTCTAACCAGATGTTTAATGAGAATCTCAAACTTAATATGTGAAAAACTGAAAGGAATCTACTCCTTCCCAGTCTTCTTCATGTGAGTAGTGACACCTCTGTTCTTTCTAATGCTTTCCCACATCCTTAATGATCTCCATTAAGTCACTTTTTCTGTTATATATTACAGTCAATCTGGCAGCAAATTCTGTCATTTCTACTTCCAACGTAAAATATCTAGAAGTCAACCATATCTTAACATCTCCACTGCTACCACTTTGTACAAGTCACAATTATCTCTCAGCTAGATTAATGCAATAGCTTTTAACTGATCTCCCTGGCTTCACCCACAATGCCCTTCCGTCCATTTTTGACATCAGTCGCAAAAATGATTTTTTCAAGATCTAAGTTATTTTATTCCCATTTACTCAAAACTCACCACTAGATCCTTATATATCTTGGAATAAAGCCGTTAAGTCACATTCACTTAAAAATATCTACTTTGGGCTCTGCTTCTAGGAAACAAGCAACATAAGAAAAGCTGTCAGTGTGGAAATATTCATTAGCATAAGGTGACATTAAGAAGAGAAGAGGGGGTGATGTCTGTATCATGCCAGCATAAGACATTCCTCATTTTGTCCCGCCCTTTAACAATTGACAGTTGAGGGTCACCACAGCCAGGTGACCCGGAAAAAGCCTCACCTACCGGTGGGCAGACAGATCTGGGTCTTGGCTGTGATTCCTGTAGTAACCCATGAGGTAGCTCCTCTTGATTATGCTCTGGGAGCCCCTAGTGAACACAGACTTAAGACAGTTACTCACAGAGGAGAGAGCCTTTGTCCAGGTTTCCAGCACTCCACCAGAGCAAAATAATATGAGTTAGAATGCACTGGAGAAGGTAAGAAGAACAGTTTGACTTTACCTACATGACCCCTCCCCCAAGGTGACACAGTTTAGGGCCAAGAAGGAAGAAAAATCTTGTCTGGCCCTTGATTTATCCTACAGGTAAAAGGGAGAGGATGGGAGTGAATACTTCCCCAGCTGTGCCTGCCAGATGGGTTTATTTCTCTCTTGCCCCATCCAGAATCTAAATTGGGAGCTCTATAATTTGGAGAGTGGGAAGAGGTTGTGGGAGAGCAGATAGAACTCATGGAGGACATTAAAGGCGCATATATCCTAACTGCCTCATGGATTCATTCCATCAAGAAGCATGCCCACAAGCTGCTGGGAGTGCCTCACCACAGATCAACTCCAACTGGCCCATGGGCACCCACAGTGCTACGCATGCCTCACGCCCCTCTCCCCCACAGACCCCCTTCCCCTGGCTCCGTGGCCAGCTCTGTGTGTATGATACTGACAATGGCATAAGTGGGTTGTGGCAGAATGCCAGTGAGCATACACAGAAAGTTGGCTCAATTTGCAGGCCAGGGAGAGAACAGATACTTGAGCTTTGGGGCCACGTGTGGGAAAACAAAAGAAAGGCTGTGAGTACTGAGTCTGGTACAATGCAGGATCCAGGGAAGGCATACAAGTTCCAAAGTTCTGCCACAAGAGGGAGCAAGAAGCGTGGGAGTAAGCAGGTGTAGTCATAGAAAGTCAGAAAGCCTCAGAATTTCTAGCAGGGCTGATGGAAGCTCTCTCTTCCACAAATGCAGTTAGTAAAAAATGCAGGCCTAGCCCGAGAAGTCACGGATGCAAAGCTTCAAGGAACACAAAAAAATCAAGTAACGTGGCAAAGTAACATGGCAACACCAAAGAATCACACTCATTTGGTAACTGAACGCAAAGACAAAGAGATCTGATCTATAATTTGCCTGATAAAGAATTCAAAATAGCTGTTTTAAGGAGATTCAGTGAGCTACAACAAAACACAGAAAGATGATTCAACAGGAAATCAGGAAAAAATACATGAACCAAATGAGAAGTTTAGTGAAGATATGGAAAATATAAAAAAATAAAGAACTTAGGCAGACCATGGAGCTGAAGAATCCTTCTCAATGTCTTCCAAAAAAATTGAAGAGAATAATCCCAAACTCATTTTATGAGGCCAGCACTACCCTCATACCAAGCCAGATAAGGAAAATAGATGAAAAATATACTAAATTTTAATATTCACAATAAATATAGATATACAAATTCTTAACAAAATGTTAGCAAACCAAATTCAGTAGTACATTGAAAGGATCATACATCATGATAGAGCAGGATTAATTCCAGAGATGCAAGGATATTTCAACATATGCAAATAAATGTGATACATCACATTTATACAATAAAAGATAAAAATCTTATGATTATCTCAATATATGCAGAAAAAGCATTTCACAAAAGTACAATATTGTTCCATGATAAAAGCACTCAATGAAACAGGTATTAAAGGAACATACCTCAATATAATAAAGGCCATACATCAAAAGCCCATGTTTAACATGATATGTAACTGTGAAAAGTCAAAAGCTTTTCCTCTAAGATCTGAAACAAGATAAAGTTGCCTACTAATCACTACTCTTAATTTTAGTGGATACTGGGAGTCCTAGCCAGAGCAATAAGAATAGGGGGAAAAAAAGGTATCCAAATTGGAAAGAAAGAGGTAAAATTGTCTTTGTTTGCCAATGACATAATATTTATTTTACATAGGAAATCCTAAAGACTCCACCAAAAACTATGAGAACTAATCAACAAGTTCAGAAAAGTTTCAGGATACAAAACCATCATACAGAAATCAGTTACATTTCTATCCACTAACAATGAAATATCTGAAAAGGTATTTTTTTCTGCCTCTCTTTCTTTTTTCTCTCCTTCTGGGATTCCAAGTATATATGTATTGGTATGCATAATGTCCCACAGGTGTCCAAAGCTGTCCTTTTTTTCTCCCATCCTTTTTCCTCTGTTTCTCAGATTGAATAATTTCTATTGATCTATCTTCAAGTTTAGTTTCTTACTTCCACTATTTCAAAATTTCACTCTTGAGACCATCTAGTGACTATTTTATTTTGGTGATCACGACTTTGATTCTGCAATTTACATTTGGTTCTCCTTTTATACCCTTAGTTTCTTTAGTGATATATCCTGCTTGTGAATCATATCACATTTTTCTTTAAAATTATTTAAGCATAGTTTCATTTAATTCTTTTGACATATTTATATGTAAGAGCAGCAAAGTCTTACAGACTTTACAGTCTGCTGCTAAGTTCAACATCAGAATCAGTTTCTATTGACTGTTTCCCCACCCTCCCTACCCTGTGATCACATTTCCTATTTCATTGCATGTCTCAGAATTTTGTTGTGGAAATTAGACATTTTAAATAAAATATTGTAGCAACCCAGGATTCTCATATGTTGATATCAGAAGCTCGGTGTTGTTTTAGTAACTTGCCTGGATTTAATATGAAGATTCTCCTCTGCAATGTGTAGCTTCTAATGTCTCTTCTCAGTTTTTTGTTGTTGTTGGGTTTTTCTGTTGTTGTTTTATACCCTTCTGTTTATTATTTTATTCTGATTTCCTGGGAATCACACCTGTTTGTGCATACTTAGTGGTTAGCCAATAATCAGTCACAAGTTGTGTTCAAATACTCCTGGCCCATAAAGCTTCCTCTCTCTGTCAGTGGAGCTGGGTATGGATTGGACAGTACGTGCAAAATCCAGGCATTTCCAAGTCTGCTTCAACTTTCACTTTCTAAAGGGCTCTTTTGAGCTTCATGAAACAGACACATAGCATCTCAGTCAGCCTGGGGTGTACACAGAGTTTGTGTAATACTTATTTAGCTCTCATTTCCAGTAACTCTCTCTATATTTTTGGCTGGTTTGCCACCCACTCTGACCAGACCACACCTTAATCTAGCAGAGGTACAGATTTTTCCTGTTTGTTTTCTACCCAGTTTGCTACTTATACAGTCAATGTCTCTGAGCATGGATCTTTGTTCTCTTCTCCCAGTCAAATCAGTCCTTTCTGGCTGTGAAGCTGCTGGTTTTTTCAGCCAGCTCTTTTCTGGAAAAACTACATTTTTCACCAGCTGAGCTGGAGAGGATGGGAGCAGCCCCAGGCA